CCAAGAATGCGTTTGCCAGAGGCCTGTTCTGAGAGAGACCCCATCATCCCCAGGTGCCCTCTTCAGAGCCATACCCCACTCCTGTGATGGGACAAACAGTCCAGCTGCTTACACCAAGACCCGTTTCTAGCTAAAATTGCCCCTGTACTAGATGTGCCATACTTTAGAGATCAGGCATTCAATCTTAACTCTCTCAGCAGGCCTGTTTTACATGGCATAAAGCAATATGAAAACCAGTGCTTCTTAAGAGGGAAAGTAAGATGCTACTTGACAGCTCTGCAAAGCTGAGTAAAATTGTGGGTGGCATACAATCCGTCGACCTTTAGTTATGCTAACAGGAAACAGAGGGCTGAAAAAGATCACATTTGAGAACTTCTGAACAAAGAAACGATTCAGAGCTTTCCACAGGCAGGAGTCAGAAAGCCAGCTCAGCCGCAAAACAGCCAAAATATGCATTTGTTACCTCAGCCTCTTTTAACTCTTTCTTGGGCATGCTCTTACGGCCAGTTTTGGGTATGACAGAGGAAGGTGAGCTGATTCCTAAGTTTTATCATCTCACCTGTACCCAGCTCTTGATAGATGCTGTTTGGAAGTTTCCAGTCTTGCTAGCTCCACCCAGCAGATCTTAACCTGGACATAAGCGTTCTTCTCACCATATCCCTAGCCTAGTTTATTGATATGGTGTTTGTTGGCCTGGAGAACAACAGTGAAACAAAGGTGGGGTAACTCTGTCTTCTTCGTGGTGGTCCCTGAGGTCAGAGGCAACTTGATCATGACGTGACAGTCAAGGTTGTTTCTCCTAAGGACACTCTTTGGACTGCCTTTGAAACCTCAGAAAATTGGGGCATCCTGAAGCTGGATGATGTCCAGATCTTGTGGATGTGAACCCTTTTAAATATAGCTCTCTTGGCCTCCAAAGTCTTGCTCTGCTCACCCATCCTAGTGGGGGCATTTTGGCCTGGAGCGCAATTTGGGGGGAGAAGGAATGAAAAGGATGCCGGGCTAGATGGGCTCCTGCTTTGAACCAGTATGGCTGTTCCTACACACGGGATAAGATAACTTCGTATTAAGAGCAGATGAATGTATTTACCTTAGACAAATAATTTCCTTTTTCTCTTTCTCTGCTGTCCCATTGGTTGACTTTGCTCACGTTTCAGTGTTCCACCAGAGCCGTTTTCCTAAGGTCAAGGCCCCTTCTTCTGCAGGTTTAGTCCTCTGAAACAATCTTAGGGCACCTACCTCACCAACCCAGCATCAATTTTCAACTCTTTTTCTAAAGTCTCTCCTCGCTTTGCCTCATTCTTTTAGTTTTGCTTCCACTCCTATCCAGTATAATCTTATCCTGAGATGCAATTTTGGGAAACATTCTGTGTGAAACTGCAGGCAATCTTTCAAAGGTACAGTCATTTAATAAAGCCTCACTTTTTTTCTATTTGCTTTCCTGACATTGATAAATGACTTGTGTGAAAAGTAAAACATTCTCCCTTAAAATAATCATTCTGTTTGTGATGACCGATTCCAGTATGTGTTGTCACAATCAAACATGTGGTTTACCGCTATAATTCCCCACACAGATGAGTGCATAAACTCTTGTTTCTTAGACATAATCAATTCAATTCTGTCACCGTTTGTCAGATCAAAATTTCCCACCTAAGCCAATCTGGTCTCAGCTAAAACTGTAGACTAGACTAAAGATCAAGCCAGAGCGCTATGACAAAACGTTAAAGGCCAAAAAAGCACGCTTTTTTCAGCAGAATTACACTTTGTGACATTAACATAAAGTTTAAGTTTAAAGTTTGGGCTAACGGGATATCTTAAGTTTAATTTTCTTTTTTGCTCTCTATTAGCATTACTGGACTTTTATTTATACGAATTCAAGATTTTTTGTGTGTGTGTGTGTGTGTGTGTAACTTCCTTTAAGCTTCCTATTCTACAGTTAGATCCTTCCTCTAAAGCTACATTGAATATTTATCTTTCTGTTCTTCTGATCTGTTCCAGGATCTTGGATGAATTAGAGTTTACACAATGGACCGGAACACTAGGCATCTTTTAATGGAATATTTACAAAGTTTTTGTAAAAAACATACAATATTTACTCTTCCAAGACAGTCTGGTCTTTTTGGAGAGTAGATATTCGTACTTCTCCTCAAAACTTCTATGATTTAGCAGGAAACGATTACACCTGCTACAGGGTAAAGCTTTTTCAAGTCTTTTATTTCTCGAACAAACGCAGCCTTTTATAAATAGTTCTCTCCTTGGCTAAGATATTCTGATCTTGCTTAAATTGATTCATTTTAAAGAGAAGGTTGAGAAAAAATAAATTGCAACATTATAACAATGAACAAAACCAAAATGCAGTGAATTTTATATTATGAAAAAGAGGATGTTCACTTGCTCCGCACTCCAGTGTAACGTAGCTGATTTATAAAAATCAAAAGAGGTAATTCAACTTCTGTAAGCCTATGTGAACTCCGTACTACAGATGCATTGTTCATGCAGACTACGATGCCTTGAGCGGGTACCAGAACCACCAGGCCAACAGTGTTTCCTTCTGAGAGTCTCAAGTCTAGGAAACAGCCTGCATTATTTTCTAAATTAATGGGCAGAATGTCTTTTGGTGATCGCAGGAACATTTGGTTTTATCTCTGAAGGGCACGCAGAAGACTGCCATGTGACTGTCCGGCTGGGAAACATCACCTGCACTCATCAGCCTAGTTGAAGCTGATAATCCTGCTAACCTCCTCCATTCAGGCTAAGGAGAAAGAGTATATGAGCACGCTCTCGGTGGAGGAGAAACACCAGGAGCCACCATCAAAATCTAGGCCCCGACACAAGCCCAGAAACTGCAGAGCTGACTGCAATCGTGTGCAAAGCTAGAGCAACTAATGATAAAAAAGAAACCAAGCTAAGCAACGGTGCACAGTCCCTGGAGCAGCTCAGGACATGGCCTTCTGGCAGAGTATCTTTAGGGAGGGCAGACTTGGATTTCTTAACTTTTTCTGTTTTCCTTGTGGTATCCAGATGAAAGGGCTGGAATACACATTCTCTGGGCATAAAAGGATGAAACTAAGAAAACAAGAGCTGACCCGGGTCATCATTATGTTCCTTCAACGGAAAAATCTGGCAAGACCACAAACACTGGTCAAAGGGGTAACAACTCTTAACAAAAGGAACATGTGGAACGGAGGTGATACTAGTGATCAGACTACCTCTACTCTCAGCAAGATGAATGAGAAGAGATGAATGCCTTCGTTTCACCTCCCAAAGCTACATTTCTATTACACTTTGTTGGCAGGTGAACTGCCAACTGAGCTACTGAGAGGGTGACTGTTACATTTTTGTGACCAATGACAAAGTTATCAAGTGCAACTTTTTACAGCACTGCAAACAGAAAATAATGCTTTCCAACCTCACCGATTTTTCTATGAAGAGGTTCCATTTATGTCTTTAGAAGAAAACTCTACTATGTTTGATTTCTGAACAGGAGCATTTTCATTCACTTATTGATAATGGAAAGAAAAACAAAAGAGGATGGTCAACAATTGATAAACTCCCTTGATTTCAAATTTCATGAATTTTTTCCTTAAATACATTGAGAAGGGAAGCCACCTTAGAAAGGAGCATTTAACACGTCATCAAAATGAAGAATGGAATTTCTATTGCACCTAAGATAGCTATTGGTGCGCAGAGGAAAAACGGGAAGAAATAAGGGGAAAATGTTGTTTCATAATGAAAACCATGCAAGTATCTTGGCCCGTGCTACAACTGTTGCACACGAACCAACATCTTCCCAAACTGAAACTGCAAGATTTAAATAAAAAGATATTCCCTTGCTTTTAGCACTCATCTAATGAGTATTAATACACAGCTCGAGATGCTGTTAACAGGCTGTGACCAAGAAGCTCAGGCACGGTGTGAGGAAACTATTCTCCACTTCTTCCTCACGCTGTTTGCCTTAACACTAAAGGTGGGCAGGCTCTGTGGAACCTGCATCCAAATTAATCTTAACAGTCTTCTAAAAAAATCTCTATTAAAGCTCAGAGCTTAAGAGCTTAGTATGTGCAGAGCTTCTGCTTTGAAAGAGAACTGATCTTATATTCATTTCTAGGTTTAATCCACCAACAGGCAGAAAGGCCAATGCTTGCTAACATCTGGATTCACAGTGTTTGGAAGGCTTTCAGCATGGCAACAGGTTTTGCTTTCTGATGTTTTGGTATGTCTGGTTTTGTGGGATTTTGTATTAGCATTTTTGGTATTAAATATTAATATTACTTGTTAATATCATTAATGTTTACATTATTAATATAAATACTAAGTACTATGTATTATTTTTGCTAAGGTGAAGCATACGCGATTCTTCGCTGCTATGATATGCTTGAGTTATTGGGATATTATATATTGCTTCAATAAAGAAGCTTGATCCTAAGTTGAGACGGCAGCACTAACTGAATGAAATTGGAGAGATCAAACCCAGATTTAAGGAATGAAAGACCTCACTTCACGTGTCTCTTGTTAGTCATCTAGCCCTTATTTCATAGAAACCTACCGCTTTTGTTTCACTAGACACTTGCATTTTGCCTCTGACTGTAAGAACAAAAACGCACTTTCAAGGGACTTGCTTCTAGATAGCTTTATAAATCCGATTTTTCGCTAGGGAGCCATTCATTTTTTCACGGGCATTCTTGTGACAATAGGTAAGCTTTGAATGACTCATATTAAAGGTGTGGTTTTGTTTTGTTTTGTTTTTCCTATGCAGCCTGTGGTTTGATACCCTTAGGATGCGTTCCTCTTTGCAAATGAGTAACTTAAAATGAGAATGAGTCTAACCAGCAGTAACACTACTCTTGATCATCCTCCTTTCTGTGCGATACAGCTTACAGAAGGTTAAACAGCGAATAAAAAGAGATGAAAAGAAAGCAATCAAACACTGCACTCGCAAAAAGTCAAAGATGTGGCCGGCAGTTTTACTGTATTTTTTATAAAGTAAATAAGTGTCATACCTTTTTAAAAATTCCATATACTCAGTATGCTTGATAAGGCCTGTCCTCATCATTATTGTTTGAAAACATTGCCGATCAATAGCCCAAAGTTTCACATTTACGAGAGCTGGAAAAAAAAACAAAAAAACAAAAAAACAAAAAACAAGACAAGGGGAAAATTTAATTAGCAAATTTCAAAATTTGAAAAACCTCGTTGTGCACTGCAGAGTCTTCACGAGAAAGCATGAAAATGGGTACACACTTCAAAACATTGACGAAAACTTAATCTACCGGATAACGGACTAAGCACGCACTGAAATGGTCCAAAATATGCATCGAACTTTATCCTAAGTTTTAGGTATAGTGCATGGGGGCTTTGGAAATATTGCCCAAGAACAACAGTGCCACCAAGATGCAGACAAGCCAAGGCAGGCTGAAAAGCCTTTACGGGTGCAAAGCAAGCAAGAAACAAGGGGCTTCGTTAATCATAACCCATTACACGTTATTTTATACGCACCGTTGATGGCACTGAGCGATCTGGGTACGTTTTTTGAGAACTGTCCGTGATTCAGAGACAGCAAAACTCATTAAGCTTTCATCCTACTCCCAAAGTAGCTGATGAATTTCTTGTCGACCTTGGGAGGTTTTCAAGAACCCCATCCCGTCATATCCTAATAACTGAAAATGCACTGATTTCAGAGGGTATGAACCATAACCATTTTTTCCCCCAATTTTGGTTTTCATGTCTCTGCTGCACCATATACGAGACCACATACTTTAAAAGTGAGAGGGTCACTTTAAGTTTGCAAAAACAAATGTTAACAGATCAATATTGCATAAATTATAGAAGAATGCTCAAGGAGAAAAAAACCTCAGTATCTTGAGAACTGAAAGCACAGAATCCAAAATGTTCCAGAATATCATCTCAGATAGGGCTTAGACATTTGCATTAATTATAAATGTTTTCATACAAAATGTTTCTAATGGGGTTCCTCCTTAGAGAAACAGTTTAAGTAAACAAAACTGCTCCAAAGACTACTGAAATTGTATGGTGTTTTTCAGAGAAAACTGCAATAAATTTCATCCCTGTGTTCCAGTTCTCTACAGGAAACAGAAATCAGCAAAAAGAGTTTCAGAAAAGTATTTACAAATAGCGTCATGAATAAAATTCATAAAATTACTTTTATTTGCTAGTCCTCTAGTTCTCAAACAGTCTGATTAATGATTTTTTTTTTTTTTAAATCCAGAACAATGTTCTCAGGAAGCAAAACCCTGAAAGCGCAAATTCAAATTTTTCTTCCTAAAATTGCATTGCAGACCCAAATGAAGGCACTACATCACTTGAAGCCTCTTCCGCATTTCAAAACAGAAGCCTGAGGAGCTGTTCCAAGTTATTTTTGAGAACTGCTTTTAGCTTTATAATCAAATGATAGGAAAGAATGACCGATTGCTTTAGCATGAGATATTTCGGAAGATTTTTGGAAGAGACAGCTAATATGAATATGAGCTCTATTTTTCTGCTTGTTACTACCGTGTGCAAAATAGGCTTTTTAATTGATTTTCAGGTGAGTTCTGTTCTAGAAGAAGAGATAAATGTTATTCAACAGGGCGGGCGGGGAAAAAAACTGAAAAGGAAAGCCTTTCCTATCCGGCATTTGCTGCTGCTGATACGGTGAATGTGAAAATAAGGAATGAAATACAGTTTATAAATTCATTTTTGTTTGGATTAAAATATCGAATAGCGTCACTGTGCCTTACCGTGAACATACCCTACTGTCTTACTAGTTCATTAGAAGTATGCATTTTTTCCAAATACAGCCATCACTCAGTGTAAGATTAGAGCTTTCACCGATATTTCTTTCAGAGAATCTCTATATCAAAAGCCTACCTTTTAAGCTGCCACCACTAGCTGAGCAAGGTCAGAAGACAGGAAAAAAGTTGAATTCGCTTTTTTTTTTTTTTAATGTAATTCAAACTTTTTAAAAAGAAAATAACTGAATTAGAAATTAACATTAAATCAATCTGCCCTTGTTTCTTTCTTCCCAAACTGTAGTTTCTGACCTGCCTTGTCCACTTAATTACTTGGCTGTAACTACTAAACTGTTCTCCCACTGCCAAATACAGTGGCAATTATTTAAGAAAAGCTCTCTTCCCCCACATGTTACGGTTCAGTGCGAACAAGTGGAGTGAACAGTCGGGATGACGATTCAGCTTAATTTAAAAGAAGAGAATGAAGGATTTTCTAGGTTAAGTCCAGCGATGATGGAAGTCAAGTTTCTGAAGGGCGATGCAACCTTCCCAGAAACAAAATACTTGCTTCTCCTGCTTCCCAATGTATTTTTAACAGATTCAGCATCTTTTGGAAACGAGGAGCTCTGGAAATAAGAGATTTCACCCTGGCATCATTCTTGGCCTAAATGGACACGTTATCAGCGATCAGCACCTGTGATCAAACTGTCGACTCTATCACACAATTTAAGAGCAAGCACGACTTGGCCAACGTACCTATAGGAGACGCAGTATTATGGTTTAAAACTGCGACTGATGGTAATCAGCTGACTGTTGCGTGTATTTCACATACGGATTTAGGGCACCCATCACGCAGTATATTTTACTTGCCACAATGGATTCAGATAGAGCTGCAAAGATACCACCTATCTCCAAGGTACATACCCATGCCCAAGAGCCAGATAAAGCTGCAAATACTTCGTTCACCTTTGAGCCGGAGCCTTTT